CACCCCCTTGTCCAAGACACTAATAAAGAGATTAAACAGTGCAGGCCCAAGGATCAAGTCCTGGGGGACCCCACTGCCCTCATCCCTCCAGGTCAAATATGACCTGTCCACCACCACTCTCTGGGTGCAGTCCCTCAGCCAATTTGTGACTCATTTGACTGTGTAGGCATCAATGCCACAGTCGCCTAGCTTTTTAATGAGAATGGGGTAGGAGACAGTGTCAAAGGCCTTCCTGAAGTCCAGAAAGACTACATCCACTGTGACACCTGCATCCAGTGATTTTTGTGACCTGATCATAGAAGGCAACCAGGTTGGTCTGACAGGTCTGCCCCTCATGAACCCATGCTGGTTGCCCCTGAGCATCATCCCTCCTGCTGGTCCTTCCCAGATGTGCTCCTGGATAATCTTCTCAAAGAGCTTCCCCAGGATTGAAGTAAGACTAACAGGCCTATAGTTGCCCAGGTCCTCCCTCCTCCCTTTTTTGAAAATGGGGTCCACATTGGCCCTAATTATAATTTTCTATACTAATAAACTACTTTTCTGGTCTTAAGTATTTGAATGGCAAGGGGTGAATTTGACAGACTGGGTCCAATGGATTAACTGGCATAGTCAATTGATTCCTTCCTCTGGACAACAGTTCAAAAATTCACTTCAGTTGAGTTTTGTAGCATCTGGCCCTTGCCCCAGACCTGCAAGTGGAATCATGTGGCCGGTCCGGGTTGAAGAATCAGAGAATATATTGCAACAGATGTTGCAAAAATCTTTGTTTTGCTCCCTGCTCTAATGTCACTCAACATACCACTGTAAAGCACAGGCCCATAGTCTCACCATTCATTGCACCTAAGGACTCATGCTACTGAAGTCATGTGGAGTTTTGTAGCTGATGGCCCTAGGAGTAGAATTGGACCTGTACAAGTGCTTCTCAGATATAAAACTTAGGAAATACGTATCCAGACGCCTTGCCTCCTATCCCATAGGAGTATTATTGGGAAAAAGTAAGGCATCTTCAAACACCATGCTGCACTTGCAGTTTAGAGTGAGCTACCTCTTAAACCACAAGGTGCCTGACATTTTTGTCACTAAGAAGCACTGAGAAGCCCACTAGAAATGCTGCATGGTTGTGGATTCACTGTTCTTGGTTTAGGAAGAAGCCTGTCTGGAACAGCACCATGTTCATGAGGATGCCACTCTGGAGCACAGAAGGTTTATTGTGGAGACATGGCCTGCAAGTGTATGATAGGCTGCAATCTTATGGCAAGGAGGCACATTTATTCAATGCAGAATTCCTTAGCCAGGCAGCTAGCTCATTGAATCTTCTACATAGTATTTACCATATTTTTAACTGAAGGGTAAACCTGCTTTCCCCCCTCCCCCTAATCCTTTCCTTTGTCTGTTGGAGCCAGATTTGATTAGTCTCTGATTAAAATGGGTCAGTCAAGGGCTGACCTAATAGCCCAGTCCAATGTGGGTGATTTTTGGCCCCTCCTGTATTTGGCAAACTATCAACACCTTACTAGCCCAGTAACTTGGCTTGTGCTATGGCTAATTAATAACATTTACAGACAACTGTAATGAACTGAAATGAATAAATGGTTTATTAAAACTCAGGTAAGTATTAACAGCAATGACAAGGGAAAAGAAGGAGAAAGGTAACACAGGTAAACAAACTTTATCCTACTATTTCTATATAACCCTTAACAATCCTCATAAACACACACAGGTGTGTGGGCAGAGTGATACAGGTGCCTTTCACCTGTACCAGAGGGATCAGATCCCTGTTCCCTCATGCCTGGAGAAGAGGGGTGATAGTTACACCAATAGGAGCATTGTGAGCCACTATTTTATGTGTACAGCACACCCAGGGGAGAAAGTCTGGGGAGCTGACTCAAGCAACCCTCAGCTGTCGATCGCCAGGGGTAGGAGATGAAAGTGTGCTGGATCCAAATGGGGTGGACCTCCACTAGATGTCTAGATCAACGGCCTGGTCCCGCAGAACATAACGCAGGCCAAGTAACAACACCAGACAATCAGCAGACACGACACTGCACCAATCATCCACAAAGCCACCTCCACTACTTCCACGCACAAACACTACCTTTACATCTCACACACCTCTCACAGACCACCCAGACAGACCACGCACTCTGTCCCTCCCGCACTCACTCATCCACAGCTACCTGTTTCTGTCAATCAAAATCCTTTATATTAGGGTAGTGCGCACAGCATGCCAGGGCTCTGCACGTGGCCCTGAGGTTTGCACTGGGTACCATTTTCCAGTGGTTTCTAGGTGTTACTGTCATAGAATCATAGAAGTAGGGTTGAAGGGACCTTGTAGATCTTCAAGTCCGACCCCCCGCCTAGGCAGGAGAAAAAACTGGGCTCAAATGATCCCAGCTAGGTAGGCATCAAGCCTCCTCTTAAAGACCCCCAGGGTAGGAGCCAGCACCACTTCCCTTGGAAGTTGGTTCCAGCTCCTAGCCGCCCTGACTGAAATAGTTCTTACGGATGTCTAATCTAAACCTACTCTCCAACAACTTGTGGCCATTATTCTTTGTTATGCCAGGGAGTGCTAGGGGAAACAAGGTCTCTCCCAAACCCTTCTGGTCCCCCCTAGTGAGTTTATAGACTGTCACCAGGTCCCCACCTGTGCACGCTCCTAGTCCAGAAATCAGAGAAGGTTCATCTCCTGACCTACTTACAGGGTCTGGGTGACAATACCATGGACTCAGAACCATCTTGGCTCCAACATGTCTATACTTCTCCCAATTTATAAACTGGCAGTGATTGTGGCCTTGGTTCTCAGCTGCTTTGCACCTTGGTTGTGCTACCACTGCTTTTCTGTTGTGAATATTCTACAAGAAAACTGACTGTGGAGCACAGGAAAATGGATCAAAGTAACATCTATTCACCTATGGAACCCACATCTTAATTGTATGAAGTCATTTATGAAAAGGAGTTTGATGAGTTAGATGCTAAGGTTGACATTTATCCACATCAGAAAGACAATGTAGGATTTGGCAAAATTTCCTTGTAGAACATCACACAAGCCTCTCTCCTAAGGTATGTCCAATTCTGTGCACTCACAATTCAATTAATTTTAAAGAGTGATTGAAGTAGGAACTAACTTGGCTTCATTCTGCAGATTTCTGCAAACTAAATGCAAATATGAACATGTCCTATTTGTCAAGCTGTTTAAGATGTATGTATTTGTAAAAAAGCACATGCGGTCTCTGGGCATAAACATCCACATTATGGAAAACAGAATTGGTGATCACAGCTGAAAAAGTAAGTGTTGTAAGGGAGTTTCTCAACCAGAGAACATAAACAGAGAACTGATTTATGCTGAAAATCTGTCAGTTTATTTCAAAATTGGAGGTTTTATAAAATAATTTAAAGCTGTTTACTATTGCATACTATTTTTATTACAAAGTAGCAGTTTCCAAAAACAAACTCTTTTCGCTATTCGCATCAACTATACACAAAGAATATTTTCTCTCTTCCCCCTCCCGTTACCAAAAATAAGCATTGGTAGTAAGTGCAAACATTCAGTGTAGAGCACTGATCAGAAAAGCGTCCAAAAGCATTTTCAAGCAGGTATGAACAAGCTTCCTCTTCTTCAGTGTCTTTTAAATACATTCTTCCTTCTCAATCCAAGCAGTCACAAACTCAGCCTGCTATTCAAGATGCAAGTATTACAAATGCAAGTACCTCTAGAACAGATATAGGCAAATAATGCCCTTAATTATCTACATGGAATAAGTTAAATGGGTTTAATACAGTCAGAGCATTGGGATCCCACAAAGAAACCAAAGGAGGAAATCGTATATTGTACTGCTGATCTAGCAAGCAGAAAATAAGCGTTGTTCTTAAAGGATACAGTTGACACTTTGCAAAACACACTTGTTAACTTATTTACAAGAATCTCCAAGAAAAGTGAGCAGAGGGACATATATTTTAACAACTTTCTTATAGAGCTTATTTGATGGTAAAGCAACAAAATCTCATTTAAATATGCATCTTTCTAAATAATTTGCCAGAGGCAGGGCCAGCTATTGAGAATGGACATACGTCCATTCATTACTTACAGCATGGAAGTCCCTTTTTAATCTTTCCAGCAACCTGGCACTTAATATTTTCACATTTAAACTTGAGAATGCTAAATAATACTTCTGCACTTTCCAGGTAAGAATAACTTGATAGAGCTAAGCCACTGAAACTATGACTTAAGACTAATATGAGAGGAACAAAGGAGGAAAAAAAAGCTGAAGGCACCTCCATTAAATATGGAAATAAAAGCGTTTGCTTAAATAAAGTTACTGTGCTATTCCTTGCTAAAGTGCAACTGCTAAACTTATTCCTATGGAAGAGCAGCACAAAAATAGTGGTTAGGCTGAGACTCACACTTAGTGATATCTTACAATATATTATTTACCTCTAGCAGTCCCTGATGCCATAGGAAGTCAGGTTTCAGGACTGCCTCTTGCCAAGTGCCACACAGGCACAGAGCAAGAAGATGTTCTTTGCCTCAAAGGGCTTGCTAAAATGAGACCAAGGTACTACTGAACTGGAACCAGCCTATTTGGATCTGGCCTTTGTTTGACTGCCATGCTTTCATATTTCTTATGAGATAAAACAAATGATTCCCATTCCTTCATCAGTAAAACCACAAATACTCACCTTGCCATCTTATTTCCTTCTCACATAGAAGCATAATAACCACTTATGGGATATGAAATTACCCTTAATTACTGCTTCTATAAGCCCAGCATTTCCTTCAAAGAAAGAAAATAGTGTGCAATTCTCATTTTCTGTTACTAGTAATAAACACTGCCTGGAAAGGGCATAGAAGAAATTCTCCTTCAGTGGAAGAAATATTTTCAGAGTAAAAAAAGAATGCATTGATTTGCAATTTTAGTTAGACTAACCCAAGAAGCAGATATGGTGTAACTCTTGAGGGGAAAGGGGTTACTCAAAGTCTTAGAACACACCCACAGTTCCATTTTGCCCCATGCTGGATTGGTTTTCTTTATGTTTGCTGCAGCAATCCAAAGATATATGCTCTAGGTATCAATAAATTAAACAGGTCATCCCATTCTGAACATACATTTTGACATATCATTTTCAATGTGCATCTACCATTCCCCACCCTCCACCCCTTCCCTGCACAAGCTTTGGTAGTTTTGTGCTGTTTAAAGAAAAAAAATATAGTGTAATGTGAATTATAATGATTAAAATGTTAAGGAACATGAACACAGCATCCTTACCAATACACTATACTTCTACTTGAAGTAAAAATAAAAATTCTTTATTTGCTTTGCAAGCACAGGACTACATCAGGAAATGCTAAAATGAAGGTTCCTTAGTCCAGATCATCATCTTACCACTTAACCCAATTAGGAAGCAAAAATGCTGACCACAGGAAAATGCTCCTTTAGCAGGCTGCCTGCATGTATGTTTGGGGTTTTAACAAACAGAGGCCCCCTCTATATATTACATGTATTATGCAATTAACTGGTTAATTGTGCAATTTAATTTAGACTGGCTACACATGGCAAAGTAATTATTACACCATAAAATGGTCCATGCAGCTATAAAGTTAGAGCTGGAAAGTGTGTAATAACTTTTTAGGTGGTTTCTATCCAGCTTTAATTTGCATGTGTAGCAAGGCAGCTATTCCCCTGTGGCCCCTGCAGGTGGGGTGCACCACCCACTGCCCGGCTGGGAGTCTCATCAGCTACAGGATTTGCAGCTGAGGGAATTTGCTACCTACCAGTGCAGAGGGAGCCCAGGATCACCATTCCGGGCTCCCCCTGCACCAGCAATAAGGTGTGATGGGATCTAATACATGATCCCA